CTTCCAAAGACAAAGTTCTTTGTCTCCACAGACTCCCCAGTGCACCACTCGCCTTTTTTCCCTCGTCAGCTGTGTGATTCACCTCATTATTCATAGACACATCTGCTGACATGTCCACTCTTAAATATCTGAATACATTCACCTCCTCCATACTCTCTCTCTCCAACCTGATATCCAATCTTTTGTTACCTAATTTTTTTTGTTATCCTCATCACCTTACTCTTTCCTATATTCACTTTCAATTTTCATCTTTTACATACCCTACCAAACTCATCTTCCAGCCTCTTCAAAGTCTCTTCAGAATCTCCCAAAAGCACAATGTTTACAGCAAAGAGCAACTGTGACAACACCCTTTTTGTGTTAGTCTTTATTTTTTAACCCCAAACCTCTTGCCAACACTCAAGCATTCACTTCTCTTACAACCCCATCTATAAATATGTTGAACAAAAATGGTGACATCACACATCCTTGTCCAAGGCCTACTTTTACTGGGAAATACTCTCCCTCTCTCCTACGTACTCTAACCTGAGCCTCGCTATCCTCGTAAAAACTTATCACTGCTTTTAACCCTTTCAGGGTTTCGGCCGTACTAGTACGGCTTAAGCACCAGGGTTTTTGACGTACTAGTACGCCTAAATTCTAGCGCCCTCAAATCTAGTGAGAGAAAGCTGGTAGGCCTACATATGAAAGAATGGATCTATGTGGTCACTGTGCGCAGTATAAAAAAAATCCTGCAACACACAGTGCATAATGAGAAAAAAAAACTTTGATCGTGTTTTTGGATTAAAACAGCGACTTTGCACTGTATTTTCGTATGGTATTTATTGTTGTATTCTAGTTTTCCTGGTCTCATTCTATAGAATGGAAGACATATTCGATTTTTACCGAAGTTCAAAAGTAAACAAATCATGCTAAGCATCCAATACATGTCAACTGGTGAGTCTAATATTCTTTCACAAGTGGGCCAATATTATTTATACCATTTTTTACACTAATGCAGTAGTCTGCATAACAGTAAATTTTCTATTTTTTGTGAGAATAAAAATTCGAAGTGGAAAGCAAAAGAATGTAAGAGGGGTGTTGGGACGTGACTAATGAACAGAGGAAATGTCATTTTAGTGCCAGGAATGTCTTTCTTGTTTATTCTGGGCCCTACTTGGAAATTGGCATCTTTTGAAATTTGTGTGAAATTGGCAAAATTGCTAAATTCTGACCACTATATTGGATAGTTGAAATCGGTAAATGGGTGGTTACTTGCACTCATTCAATAGAAAAAATGGAGTTCTAGTGAAATATTCATGATTTGTGTCGACTAGTACAGTGGAATTGGCCGAGAATAGGGCTCAAAGTGGGCAAAATCGCCGATGTGTAAACATCGTTGAGACCGCTAACTTTGCGAGAGCATAATTCCCTAAGTTTCCATCAATTTCATACTTTTGGTGTCATTATGATCGGGAAAAGATTCTCTATCTTTTCATAAGAGAAAATAATTTTTTTTTTTTTTTTTTTTAAATTTGGGGGACCCTGAGAACAAGTCCCTGAGAGGGCCTGTCGACACTGAAAGGGTTAATAACTTACCTCCTACTCCATACATTTGCAACATCTGCCTCACTGAACCCCTATCCACTCTGTCACATGCCTTTTTTCAAATCCACAAATGCCGCAAAAGCCTCTTTACCCTCATGTAGATACTGTTCACCTATATGTTTCACTGTAAACACTTGGCCTACACACCCTCTACCCTTCCTAAAGCCTCCTTGTTCATCTGCTGTCCTACTCTCTATCTTACTCTTAATTCTTTCAATAATAACTCTCCCATACACTTTACCAGGTATACTCAACAGACTTCTTCTTCTTTCAACAAACCGGCTGTATCCCACCAAGGCAGGGTGGCCCAAAAAGAAAAATGAAAGTTTCTCTTTTTTAAATTTAGTAATTTATACAGGAGAAGGGGTTACTAGCCCCTTGCTCCCGGCATTTTAGTCACCTCTTACAACACGCATGGGTTACAGAGGAAGAATTCTGTTCCACGTTCCCATGGAGATAAAAGGAAATAAACAAGAACTAGAAAGAAAATAGAAGAAAACCCACAGGGGTGTGTATATATATGCTTGTACATGTATGTGCAGTGTGACCTAAATGTAAATAGAAGTAGCAAGACGTACCTGAAATCTTGCATGTTTATGAGACAGACAAAAGACACCAACAATCCTCCCATCATGTAAAACAATTACAGGCTTTCGTTTTACACTCGTTTGGCAGGACGGTAGTACCTCCCTGGGTGGTTGCTGTCTACCAACCTACTACCTAGGACTCAACAGACTTCTTTTTTCTTTCAACAAACCGGCCGTATCCTACCGAGGCAGGGTGGCCCAAAAAGAAAAACAAAAGTTTCACTTTTCAAATTTAGTAATTTATACAGGAGAAGGGGTTACTAGCCCCTTGCTCTCGGCATTTTAGTCGCCTCTTACAACACGCATGGCTTACGGAGGAAGAATTCTGTTCCACTTCCCCATGGAGATAAGAGGAAATAAACAAAAACAAGAACTAGAAAGAAAATATCAGAAAACTCAGAGGGGTGTGTATATATATGCTTGTACATGTATGCATAGTGTGACCTAAATGTAAGTAGCAGTAGCAAGACGTACCTGAAATCTTGCATGTTCATGAGACAGACAAAAGACACCAGCAATCCTCCCATCATGTAAAACAATTACAGGCTTTCGTTTTACACTTACTTGGCAGGACGGTAGTACCTCCCTGGGCGGTTGCTGTCTACCAACCTACTACCTAGGGCTCAACAGACTTATTCCCCTATAATTTTTGCCTTTATACAAAGTAACTATGCATGCTCTCTGCCAATCCCTAGGTACCATACCCTCTTCCATACATTTATTAAATAAAAGCACCAACCACTCGAAAACTATATCCCACCTGCTTTTAACATTTCTATCTTTGTCCCATCAATCCCAGCTGCTTTACCCCTTTCATTCTACCCACTGCCTCACTAACTTCCCCCACACTCACAACTTGCTCCTCCTCACTCCTACAAGATGTTATTCCTCCTTGCCCTATTCATGAAATCACAGCTTCTCTATCTTCATCAACATTTAACAATTCCTCAAAATGTTCCTTCCATCTTCCCAGTACCTCTATCTCTCCATTTAATAATTCTCCTCTTCTATTTTTAACAATCAAATCTACGTATTTGTTCCCTAGGCTTCCTCAGCTTATCAATCTCACTCCATAACTTTTTTTTTTATTTTCTACAAAATTTGTTGATAACATCTCACCCACTCTCTCATTTCCTCTTTTTACATTGCTTCACCACTGTCTTAACCTCTCTTTTCCTCTCCATATACAGTGGACCCCCGCTTAACGATCGCCTCCCAATGCGACCAGTTATGTTAGTGTATTTATGTAAGTGCGTTTGTACGTGTATGTTTGGGGGTCTGAAATGGACTAATCTACTTCACAATATTCCTTATGGGAACAAATTCGGTCAGTACTGGCACCTGAACATACTTCTGGAATGAAAAAATATCGTTATCCGGGGGTCCACTGTACTCTTCTCTCTTTGTATCACTTCTACTCAGTAAAAACCTCTCATATGGTAACTTCTCTCTTACTACTCTCTCTACATCATCATTCCATCAATCGCTCTTCTTCCCTCCCTCACCCAGTTTTCTGTAACCACGAACTTCTGCTGAACACTCTTAACACTACATTCTTAAACCTACCCCAAACATCTTCAGCCCCATTGCCTATACTCTCACTAGCTCATCTATCCTCCAATAGTTCTAGGTAGTAGGTTGGTAGACAGCATCCACCCAGGGAGGTACTACCATCCTGCCAAGTAAGTGTGAAACAGAAACCTGTAACTGTTTTACATGATGGTAGGATTGCTGGTTTCTTTGGTCTGTCTCATAAACACACTGGATAATGGGTATATCCTGCTACTTCTACTTACACTTAAGTCACACTACACAGGCATGCACATGCATCTATATACGTACACACATGTAGGTTTTTTTTTTCTTAATAGTTCTTGTTCTTTATTTTCTGTATTCTCCATGGGAAAGTGGAAAAGAATCATTCCTCCATAAGCCATGTGTGTCATATGAGGTGACTAAAATGCTGGGAGCAATGGGCTAGTAACTCCTTCTCCAGTACAAAATACTAAAAAAGTGAAGTAAAGCTTTATAAAACTAGGATGTGTGAATGTAGTGCAGATGATAAGAAAGAGGTGATTGCTAATGTTATGAATGAAATGAAGTTCCACTCGTGTACTTGTCAAACCTATTTATAAAGCTACCCATGCTTGGCAATAATTGTAGATTAGTGGAACAAATATACCAGTTGGGTTGAATCTGAGAACAACCTGCCTAGCATGGGCCAGTAGGCTTACTGCATAGCTAAAAGTATATAAACACCTGCCTGTATTGACTACTGATGAAGACCTAATTTACTCCCATCTGTTAGGTCTGAAAATATAACCACCTGTGTCTTATGCCTGGGGTTAAACAAAAATCTGATTAAAATAAAGTATATCCCCCTGTCTTATGGCTAGTAATATACAGTATTTTGTATCACCTAGCAAAGCATGGACAGTCTCTAGCAGTCAGCTGGTGTCATGGCTGCGCGCCTCTGTATGCTCTCCTAGAGTTCAACTTTCTTATGTAGCTGCTAGTTTACTCTTGATAATAAATTGCTAACATGTTCAACATTTGTAGAAAACCGCTTTTTGTGTAAATTAGGATTCGCAAGTTATATAAATTTTAGAAAACGTTAGGTAAAAATAAAATAAAAATGTCTAGTGGACATTAACTTGAGTTGTTTAGTAAGAATGGTGGGAGACTGGCAGGGGCTTACTGAGCTTGTAGCCCAAGCAATACTTCAAACTTCCCTTTAGGTACTGCTTCTTTATATATTGGTATTATAGATAAATAATGTTATGTACAGAATTTTGTATTAATTATGATTATGGTCATTGCATATCTAGGTGAAAATGAAGAATTTACGCCGGGAAGTGCGTTTATATAAAGAATCTGTTGGACGAAGTAATTCGCGCAAGCCATCTGAAGTTGCCACAGCTTGTGAAAAACTTCTGCCTGATATTGAAGACATTTTCAACAAGGTAAACATACATGAAACTTACTTTTCCTACACTAGGTAGAAACAGCCCTTCTCTTAATATTTTTTTTTTTTTTTTTTTAAGCACATTGACAATCTCCCACCTAAGCAGGGTGCCCCAAAAAAGAAGAAACACTTTCATCATCACTCACTCCATCACTGTCTTGCCAGAGGCATGCCAATACTATAGTTCAGAAACTGCTTGATTATATTTTGAAAATAGATAATGTCATTATTACCATATTTCCCATTTTTCTATGGTGGAGCCTTAGGAAGGAAAGCATAAAATATGTTATGCCTCTTTCCTAGATAATAATTAATCATTGATTTGCATGTAAAATGCTTTTATGAATTTCTCAAAGATGGGGCTGCAAGGTTTCCTCTCCACTTCAAGCCATCCTCAAGGAAAATATCTTGAAATAGCTTTTAAAGCTTTCATCATTAATGTGTTTTCTTAAGCTGGGAGAAGTTGAGTAGTTAGACAGTGGCAAATGCTTTGGGCTGGTAGACCAGTGGGAGATTGTGTAATTCACATTGCAAGTGCTTAATTTGTTGAATGCAATACTTTTGTGACATAGCCTCACAGTGCTATAGTTATACTAATACTTTAATAGCAAGAAAGATCTTATTTGTTTATAAAGTAATTTGTTTTTTAACCATCTTCATTCATTCAATCCCTGCCTTGCCAGAAGTATGCTGATATCACAATTCATATTACCCTCTGACTGCAACATACTCAGCCCTTCTTCAGTGTGGGGTAATGTACTTTTCTCCTCTAGGACTGTAAGTCCAGCTAACTGGCTTTTCAAAATTCCTTCATAAATGTTACCTTCCTCAAGCTCCAACAGCATGTCCATTGGCAACCACTTGTCTCCACTTCTAACACACTAGCCTGCTAGATGCTTAAGCCCCTAAAACTCAGGACTCCTTTACACCCTACCTCTAGCCTTCATACCTTCCACCCCAGATTTATACACCCTTTTTGTCATCTTATTCCTCTCCATCCTCTAAATGTCTAAAGCACTTTTAAAAAACCCTTCTTGAGTTATACTCTTACCCTCTGTATAATATTCACACTACACATTGCTCTCAGACATGACATTTCTACTTCCTCCTCACTCCAATGTTTAAGGCCCATTCCTAAAGCACATATGAAGTATAGACCAGTATGCTGACACATCTACTCCCAAATAAGTGTCTACATCTGGAGTAATACATGTTTCCTCCATACTTCCTCTAATCTGATATTCAATCACTCATTGCCTAGGTATTTTTGTTAGCCTCATCAAATTGCTCTTTTCCACATTCACTTTTAATTTCTTTCTTTTACATACCCTCCTAAATTCATCCACCACCCTTTGTAACTTGTCTTAAGAATCTCCCAAAAGAACTGTCAACAGTAGACAGTAACTGTGACAACTCCACTGTATATCAGATCTAAGGTCTTTCAATTTCATCTCTCCCCAACACTCTAGCATCCCTATTCTAAATCCAGTAATTCAACAAACAGCTCGTTACCCTTATCTAAATACTCCTCACTTTTATGGTTCAATGTCAACACTTGGTCTACACATTCCCTGCTCTTTCTGGATCCTCCTTGTTCCTCTGCAATCCTGCTTTTTGTCTTAACCCTAACACTTACCATAATATTTTTACCTTACACTTTACCCTGTGTATCTAAGTCTTTTTTTAACAAGTTGGCCGTCTCCCACCTAGGCAGGGTGACCCAAAAAGAAAGAAAATCCCCAAAAAGAAAATACTTTCATCATCATTCAACACTTTCACCTCACTCACACATAATCACTGTTTTTGCAGAGGTGCTCAGAACACAACAGTTTAGAAGCATATACGTATAAAGATACACAACATATCCCTCCAAACTGCCAATATCCCGAACCCCTCCTTTAGAGTGCAGGCACTGTGCTTCCCATTTCTAGGACTCAAGTCTGGCTATATAAAAATAAATGGTTTCCCTGAATCCCTTCACTAAATATTACCCTGCTCACACTCCAACAGATTGTCAGGTCCCAAATACCATTTATCTCCATTCACTCCTATTGAACACGCTCATACACGCCTGCTGGAAGTCCAAGCCCCTCGCCCACAAATCCTCTCTTACCCCTTCCTTCCATCCTTTTCGAGGACGACCCCTACCCCGCCTTCCTTCCTCTACAGATTTATATGCTCTCCATGTCATTCTACTTGGATCCATTCTCTCTAAATGATCAAACCACCTCAACAACCCCTCTTCAGCTGTCTGACTAATACTTTTATTAACTCCACACCTTCTCCTAATTTCCACACTCTGAATTTTCTGCATAATATTTACACCACACATTGCCCTTAGACAGGACATCTCCACTGCCTCCAACCGCCTCCTCGCTGCTGCATTCACAACCCAAGCTTCACACCCATATAAGAGTGTTGGTACTACTATACTTTGATACATTCCCTTCTTTGCCTCCATAGATAATGTTTTTTGTCTCCACATATACCTCAATGCACCACTCACCTTTTTTCCCTCATCAATTCTATGATTAACTTCATCCTTCATAAATCCATTCGCCGACACGTCAACTCCCAAGTATCTGAAAACATTCACTTCCATACTCCTCCTTCCCAATTTGATATCCAATTTTTTTTATCTAAATCATTTGATACCCTCATCACCTTATTTTTTTCTATATTCACTTTCAACTTTCTACCTTTACACACACTCCCAAACTTGTCCACTAACCTTTGCAATTTTTCTTTAGAATCTCCCATAAGCACAGTATCATCAGCAAAAAGCAACTGTGTCAATTCCCATATCCCCTATGATTCTTGTCTTCTTTCTTGTCCCCTTTTTCTTATATGAGGGAACTATACTTTTCTGTACCTAAAATACTAGGCATACTTTTAATCATGTGTTACCTTCCTTGACGGTGTTAACCCTATATCACTTGTTCATCTGTCCATACCTTGTGTATGGGTTTTAAGCCTGTGGATTTACAACCAGCAACTACATCAAGCCAATTATCACATAACAAAAACATCACTCTGAACTGCAATGAACACTGATTTCAGACAGCATTACAACTTGCTATTCAGATCCCCAAAACTATAAAAATTTGAAGCACATAAATCTACATTTGACCAAATTATGGCATAAAACATGAGCCCACCACACATGCATTAAATAAATATGAACCCAAAACAATTCATATAATTAACAAAGAAAATCAATGTATTCTAAATTCAGTTTAAAAAATTAATTCATTAAAATTTTTGACCAGTTTTTACTTAACAAATATGAGCCTCCAGTATAGCTACATAGGATTAACATACTGTATACATACAAAAATAAATTCATTTGATAAACAAGGGATTAATCCTTACATTGTTGTCAATGGGGACCTTGCTACCCTGTTTGTAGTAATGCTTTCCTTAAAGTGTAATACGGTATAATGACTAAATTACTATTCTATGAAGTAGTGAATATGTGATAATTTTTAAGGAATTAGGTCATCAAAAATAGTTGTTTGTAGAGTACATTGGGTTAGGAGACCAAAGATGCCTCAGTCATTTACTCTAATGCTATTGAATTACAATCTCCTCAGAAAAAAAAAAAAATTATAGCAAAAAAAAAAAAAAAAAGTTAGACAAAGGGAGAATATAAACAGAAAGTTTAATGAGCTTTATTAGGGAACTTTAAAAGTACAAAACATCAGTACAGTGGAACGTTGGTATGCGACCTTAATTCATTCCAAAAGGCTGTTCGAGTGATGTTCCATTTGAGTATCGAACAAGTTCCTCCCAACCAATTTTCTGTTTGGTTGGCTGATATCACTTAATGTTTATAGGCCCCATGGTGACTTATTTATACAAATAATACAAAAAACACCAAAAAATGCGAAGAAACTCAAAATAGTTTATAGCGAAGTTTTGGCAAGTTGTATTTGTTTAGTGGAGTGCTGAGCTCTGTTTGAGTAGGGAGCTGTTTGTATACCGAGGTTCCACTTACTAGCATTCAAGGTGATATGCAGAAACTCATGAACTACAGAAGTGCCCATAACATATGTAATGTACAAAATGCTGGAATGTATTATAAGAAAGGGACTTGTTGATCGTCTTAAAAGTAAAAAATTCCTCGTACAACACTTTTAAAGATTCAGAAAAAGAGTCATGATATACAAAGGTCAGAGAGGAAAGTGAGGAATCTGTGCATTGCACATTTCTATACTGTATAAAAGCTTTTGATATATTGTAATGTCACACAGAAGGTCATTTAGTAAACTAAAGAAACAAACTGAGATAAAGGAAAGAATATTAGTATGGATAAAAGAAAACTTGAACATAAATCAGACATTCTACAGAGGATGAAAAAGATCAGTCTCCAAATTATTCTTAACCTGTAACCTAACAACAGGAATAAGCTCCAACAGATTACTGTTTGCAAATGATGTCAAAACAATGAGACTATATCCTGAAGAGATCAGAAGCTAGTTGCAGAATTGTAAAAATGGTCAGTTATTATTATTATCCATAATTTAACCCACGTACAAGCCAAGTTATGAAACTGTGAAACTATGGAAAACAACCAAAAACCTCAGAAAAAGCACAAAAGAAAAACACTTAAGAATAACTACTGCTCCAAACCAGTCCCCCACAGCAGAGAGAATAACACCAGCAGTACAGACTTAAGATCATGAATATAAGTAACAGTCAGGAATCAAGACAAAGATACATTCAAAATACTTGTTACCTCATACATGCAACACAATGTACTCTTCAGTACTCTACACTTACGGAGCCATCACCTGGTCAAACACTAAGTACAACAGGAAAATCAAAGAGGGCATCCAGACATGTGACTGACTGAAGGAAAATGAGCTATGAAAAAAGAAGGCAGGATCAAAGCCTTTATCTCTGGTAGATAAAAGAAAATGAATGATAAATTAGTCATGTGCAACATCTGGGTATCTTTACTATGTAGACATTTTTGTCATATGTTGCACATGTCTA